GAAGAGGGGCGGGGGCGAAGAGGGAATGGAGGAGAGGAGAGGAAACGTCGAGCAAGTACTTAAAAGAGAGCTCGACGTATTTTTTAATCGCTTCGAGTCTCCATTTATTCTTAATCCTAATCAAACGTAAAACGGTGTATTTCGAACGCGCGTGCTGCGTGTACGTGCGTGCGTGCGTCGTCCGGCCGATCGATCGATCCACCGATCGATTTTTCATTCGTGACTGAAAGGGAAAAGGAAAAATTCCAAGCAACCGCTCGTTAAGTCGCTTCATCATCGTTTTACCAGTTCTCTGTCGCGATTTCCGATACCCCAACGATCGATCGGATTTTCGAGACACGTTCTGCCTTCGACCAACGATGTACTTTGACGAGTTGTCGGAGCTAACAGAAAGCAGGGCTGATCGGTCACAGGCTCGATGATCCTTCGGAAACTTTCTTTCTTTCTTGTCGTTTCGCTGCAACTTTTCTATCCGACCAAGCAGATCGAACGACCCATCGAAAGCCTCGTTCGATATCGCGATTAGCTATTATCCCGTTTTTCTGTTTGCCTTTGTCGCGACCGGCGAATCCAGGATCACGAAGGAAGCGAAGAAGAAACGAGGATGACGCAAGGTGTTCCAATGATCGTGACGAAAATAGATATTTCATTTTTAATCAGGATTTTGTTACTCTTCCACGCCTCTGTTCGATTGTAGGTTTAAAATAACGTTCACAAAGATTTCTGAATTCTCTGACGATTTTTTCATATTTTTCTCGAGTGCTGAGGCATCTTTAAGGAGAAAAAGAAAATGTTAGATCGAGACGTGTTGAAAAATCGCAGTATTGTTAAAGAAATCGGAACCCAAAGGATCAGATTAAATCGAGAAGGACCCGATGAACGGAGTAGGGTTAAGCGACGCCATTTTTATTCAAGTGGATCACGTTTGCGCTCGCGATCGATTTAGAAGCAACGAAGGAAGGGAAAATACTGAAAGCAACAAGGCCGAGACTGCGTTGCGATTATCTCTGAGTGAAAGTCACGCGAATCGATACAGTCATGGAGCATCCGTCTTTTTTATCTGTAACACACGTCGTTTCTTCCAATCTAGTGAAACGCGTCATCCTTCGAAGGATTCAGAGAACTGCCACTGCAGCTCCAACGAAGCCCCATCAAAACGAGCGACAAGAGTTTCATCCGCAAAGGGTTGATTACAAAATCCCGACAAAAGGGTGCGCCAGCTACCGCGGATATTCACTTTCTTACCAACCGCGTGCACGGGATTTATAGTTCCGAATACGCGATCTTTTTGCTCTGTTGTCAGTATACAATATGCCGTTTCATCGAAGAACGACCATTTCATCGGTGGACAATGAATTGATGAAGTTTTGATTACTGGTCAAACGCGGGGAAGAAAATGTAGTAGAAAGTCTCGTAATCGAGTTTCTCATTTTGGCTTACGTCGATTATTCTATAACATAAAGAAATCAATATAAGAATAATTAAAATTTCTATTTATATAATTATTCGTCAAGTTCATTCTTCCATTCTACCAAATTACACGATTTTTTCATTACAATATTAGTGGGACGAAATAATTTTGCTAAAGCATCAGACGATAAGGGCTTGCATCTAAAAGAATTGAATCTTCAACAACTCTGTTCATGGAATATAATGTTTGGATGGTAATTATTAAGGTATTGAAGACTTCGAATACGAGGTGTTGTACTACATTTTACAGGAAGCAAGTTTGATTTCTGATGATCAGATGGACGAGATGTAATATAAATTGCCATTTGAAGGAAGTCGAAGGACACCTATAATTATTTTAAGCACACCTATAATGCGCACGTTAAACGGATCAGCGTAACAATGTCGTTTGCAATGTGTACTTTCGCGTTTTTTCGACTGAAGTTTAACTGATTCATCAGATAAACGCGGAAAAGTGATCATATCTGATTGTAAAAAGAAGCCCTTGGATGTGTGTACACTTTTTTTTCTCCGAACCCGCAGTTAGCCTTACCAGAATAATCATATTGTAATCTCCTTCGACGTTACTGTTCAAAGATAGTCGTAACGATGTTATCGAGAGAAAAACGATTAAAGTCGCGCGAAACCTTAGTTAATGAGGAAGGCACACCGATGTCAGCAGTGTGCGTTAAATTGTACGGTACATATATTGTGAATGAATGAAATCGCAACGCGCGAGATATCCCTCTTGTAAATTTGAATCCTGATAAATATTGCGGAGACGAACTTTTCTCTTTCTCGACTCATATTAACGGAGTCATTGGCAGTATGTGTCAATAAATAAACTGATTCGTTAAAGCGACCTACCATTTATTATTTCAAATCACTGTGCAAAATCAAATATCATCAATGCATCAGTTATTACTAATATTGGAATTGTTTATGAATCGTTTTTCCGTTGAAGAACGAAATCGTCAATTCATCTGCAGATGGTTCTTTCGAATAAATGTTGAAATTAAGGTGTTTCCTTAGGACATGCAACCCATCGTACTCATTCGGTAACTGCACTTTCAATTACATAAATACCTTCAGATGAATCGAAGTTTCTGCGTGAGATCATGAGATGGTTTGTATCTCTTTTGCTCTTATCACCGATGAGAAACAGTTGTTTTATCTCTCGTCGGTAACGAAAACAATTTATACTACAAGTGGTAAGACAGGTCCTCGATAATACCGTCATTATAAAGAGAGAGACTTGTTGTATCCGCGCATGCGCAGTAATGTCTGTGGATAGTAACAATACGGTGTAACTGATCGGACGAGTAAGAAAGACGAAACGCTACGATGTTCGAAAGAGGGTGTAAACTAGTTGACACTGTCGGTATTCTCTCACGCGAATCAGTGTTGTTAAGGTGATGTGACCTTTCAAGTCGCTGATCAACTCGATTCCTTCTCAACACATGCCTAAATCTGTCGAGGATGTCTAGTAGACACATCAATACGAAGAAAATCATACGAGTTATAACCTGGTCCTGAGGTAGGTCTATTTAGTAACATTTAGTGTCTGTTCCATAACATCACGTATTCTTGTAACAAAGAACTCGCGATCAGGCCGTTGTCTCTATCGTAATATTCATATCGTCACGCTATCCGTGAGAATCTTGATTTCAAACTGACCTGTTATCTGCTGTCTCAGTCGTTCCATCTCTGTCTGTGGTTCTAGATATCGGTAACGCGGTAGTTTTGCGACGATAAACAGTGTGATCGACGGCCACCAGGAAAGAAAAATGTCGTGTTCGAGTGAGCTGTCCCGTTCGCAGGAATATCTCAGCTTTCGCAGCTCCATACCACTCAGGAAAATCGTTGTTGACAATGATGGCACCAAGGTAAAGCATTCTTTCCAGATATCCGTTACACTTCCTAAGATTCTCGAAATTGTTAATCGCGTAACGATTCCTTTCGATTTGAACGATCAGTTTAACGAGATCGCTCTCGAGAATCGAAACTCGCGGCAAGGACCTCCCGTCGTCATACAGAATATGTTAATAACGGCAATATTGTCCATACCGAAGCAGATAAAAATATTGAAACGTGAATAAAGTAAACACATAATATTTATAATTCAATGAGCGCATAATGGCGATAATGAAATCAGAAATTAATTAGTAAATAAGTGGGGCGAGACAAAACATTGAAAACTGCGTATAAAAAATATATCAAGTGTACACGAGGTGATCCTTACTCAGCCATGATCGTTGTGAACAGATATCGCATCCGAGGCCGTGATTGTATACTAAATCATTCCGGTCAGGCGTTTCAGATTACACGTACATACTTATTCTATGCGTTCAGATAGGTGTTTTGAAATATAGAAAACTACAAGAGTAGATAAATAGAAAGAAATCTATTTTTTAAGTACTGCACGAGAATTAGGAAACCGCATTAAAACTGTAGACATGAATACCTGTTTCGTATTATGGCGCGTTCCGGTTCAAGTATCGAAATCGGAACAACACGATCGATATCGCTTCGCACGAGATTTAAGCGGAAGTCAATGCACTCTTATTAGGAGGATTATTGGGTACATGAATAATCTGCGGATCTTTATGCAAATGTCAATTCTCTGAACTGAACTCTAACAGAGATTCCGCCAGACTTGAGAAAAATCAAAAGGTTATTAAAATTCATAAAATTCATAATTGGTTCGAATATTAACATATTAATATATTATATATATATATATAAATATATATAACGTGTATATATATCCTGTGTATGCACTTATAATTATGATTTTCATTTCAGGGATGGAAAGTATACGATTCCAACCCAAAAACCATTAAATGCCCGTTAATATGTCTTCCACCGGTCAGCGGAACGGCGGATGTATTCTTTAAACAAATATTAGGCTTGGCAGCGAGGGGATACAGAATTATATCAGTAAATATTGTATAAAATAAGTACGAACTGTATTTTTTGTCCGATGAATCAATATTAATGTGGAAATTGAATTTTAGGCAGAGCCACCAGTGTATTGGAACGTCAAGGAGTGGTGCGACGGATTTAGAAAACTTCTAGATTATATGGAGTTGGACAAGGTGCACCTATTCGGTGCCTCGTTAGGTCTGTATTTATGAATGAACCGCCATATTGGTTTATTAAGCCTGAAGAAAATTCCAATTACGAATGCTTCGTTCTATTATTACAGGTGGTTTTCTTGCTCAAAAATTCACCGAGTTCAATGCTCATTGCCCTAGAGTAGTGTCGCTAGTACTTTGTAATACATTTACAGACACGTCGGTGTTCAGTTACAACGATTCCGCAGCAGTGTAAGTATACGTGTCGTTCTCGTATGTAACGCGGGATTAGAGAATTTACGTTTAGTTGTCGGCTTGCCGACTGTTTCGAGATAAGCGGACGAATAACAGAACGCGATACGTTATCTCAAATATTTTACTTGGTACTACGGCTAATCGATCTGAATCGTAGGTTTTGGATTCTGCCGTCGTTGGTATTGAAAAAAATGTTGATGGGGAACTTCGTAACGGAAAAGGTCGATGGAGAAATGGTAGAAGCCATAGATTTCATGGTTGAAAGGGTAAATATTTCTCACGGAAGATAAACTCGAATAATCCTTTGACCATTTTATAATTTTTCTGCTGAATATTACTGTTCATCCTTTTTGAGAATGGGTCACGAGTACAGTGACATGTTGCACCTGCATGATGAGGAACAATAAGTAGCAGAATTTCGCTAGGTTTATTTAACAAACAAAAAATTAAGCTCTTAAATTACCACGAACTGCTTCGTTTACTCCGTGATAATTTTTCTTAGCTCGTATAATATATTATAATTTTAGTCCTAAGCATTGATAGAACGTCAGTGCATGATTGCACACGTGCATTTTCAGTATTTTTATATTCAGTATATTTATCTCCAACAAAAAATAGTATATTCTTGATGTTTTTATCTTGACACAAACTCATATATCAACGCTGTGTCGCCGCACCTTTTTTTTAATGTAAATGGTGCTTCACATCTCTGAATTCTGAACAAATGGAAAAAGTATCACGGAATAATCGATTGCCTGGATTAACCGGAGGTTACCATAATCGGTCGTGTTTACAAAGACACATACTTGAAACCATTTCTTTGTACGCAGTTGGAGAGCTTGACGCAGTCTGAATTGGCGTCACGGTTGACAATGAATTGCGTAAATTGTTACGTCCAGCCGCAAAAGGTATGCAATTTGCCTATCACGATCATAGACGTTTTCGACGAGTATGCACTGTCAAACTCGGTAAGAGAAGAGGTGTACAAATGTTATCCTAACGCTAAATTGGCGCACCTGAAAAGCGGCGGGAATTTTCCATATTTGAGTCGCTCGGCGGAAGTCAATTTGCATTTACAGGTATTAATATGCGTTGCATTCCGATAAACTCGTTCCTTTCGAGTAGTGTTCAAGAAGTTTTATTGTAGATTATAGATTATTATAAATTATTTATTTATAGCATATTTTATATTTTGTTAATTATTATGCAGTCATTATTACTATAAATTGTAGATTAAAGAAAATTAAACAATTTTCAGATACATCTGAGACAATTCGAGGGGACGGAATACGCAGCTTCCGAAAGAACGAAGTTACAATAGGATGATTTTATGAAATGAAAGTTCCTTGACTTAGTTTCGGCACGATGAAGGCGATTTCCGTCTGGTTGTTGATGACCAAATGTTAGTCAACGCGATTGTAGAAACAACCGCGGAACAGTTCCAGAACTATATCCACCGTCGTCCATATCATACTCGTCGAAGTATTCCATGTATAGAGCGATCTATTTCACAAGGCGTCCGCTCCATTTTTATCACACATTCGCCAGAATTTAATATTGTAATATTTTTTTAGAAAAAATTTGTAAAAACGCTTTCATTAGAAGATAAATTCGAAACCCCGGTGAATCTACACAGTGTTTTTAATGAATCGGAGGAGACTGTTACATGAAACAAATCGAAAGAATGTGTTCATTCACGGTGCAATAGAAGGTTAGGGTTAAACGTATATTCGAAAAATTCAATTACGAATTTTGTAAACATACGCGGCGATTAATGTCGATGATACATTTTTGTTTTTCAATTCAACCTGTATATACTAATTCGAAATAAATGTTTATAAGAAAATGGGTGAACAGTGTTAAGAATGACAGCAACCATAACTCATTAGTAGGTGAAGCGATCCAAGGCAACAAATTTCACCCCGCAATTAATCTATTTTTATAACGGGTAAACGTAATTTGCGAAAAAGAATGTAAAACGCGAACTCATGACTGGGTTGACAATCAATGTGCTAGCCAACGAACGTGTTTGATTCCTTCTATGAACTGAATACGTTAAGTTGATGAAATACTTGCTTCGCCTGTGGCTGTTCCGGTGAACGAACTCTCGGGACTTCTACAGTTCGTAAGACCTCCTAACTGAGAGACCGTACAAGAACTTGCTCGGTATCGATTTCTCTCTGTACGCTCTTGGCGTTTCTCTCTTCTGGTCTCGGATTACAGACCCTTTCCTGCTCACCTAGGCGATACCTTTACGTTCCACACACAGAAACATCGCACGCATTAATCGTTGCCGTGCACCGAACCGCAGACATCCAACCAACATACACCAGCACCTCGTGTCTCCTTCCAGCAAAAGTGAACGCACCAGAGTTTACCCTCTTCGCGAATATAGCTGCTCTATAAAAACCTCACGACTGTAATTATAAAATAAAGGCTTCCGCCAGAAGGGTTCTACCGTCGCGTGATGGAAGCCATATTCTACAAAACACACCGGGAGAAGTAAAATTATTTCTCTGCTACTGATTTATATCTAACTCTGACAAGACTATTGCAGAATGTTTCTCAGATATTAAATTAATTTTAAACAATGGATAGACGTTAAATCTGGTCTCCCAGAAACTAAAATAAATGTCACCAAGAAAATTCGATAATAATTTTCTTATTACTTATACCTTACAAAATATGTATGTATTTCGAAAATGATCGAGTACATTTCTTAACTACCCACTTCATAAGTACTTCACAAGTACTTCATTGAATAAATCGCTTCGATTTTGACACTCGATGCATTCATTCTGATAACTAGAAGCTCCGCCAGCGTCAACGTCCAATGCTCCACATTGATCTCTACCCGAACCCGGTGGGCCACCCTCTTTGTTTACATCGCGATAGGCTACTTTACTCGTAAAGAAAGAAAGCGCGATCGATCCGATTACAGTTCCTCTGAGCACAAGATTTTCCACTGTCAGATAAGATTGCGGTTATCGCGCGGTGCTCGTTCACCGTGCCTCTGTAATCAAGCCGGCGATTGTGCCGATAGTCCCCAACCCGTGAAGCGGGAAACGCCGGGTGTTTGAAAGTGTTCAGTCTCCCAGGTGCTCGGTCGACGAACAGCCGCGCAGCTCGCTCACGCTCGCAGCCGGTATGTGGTGTGTGTACAAGAACCTAACGTCCGTTTCTTCGCTAGGAAGATCGGGGTGTTTGATTTCGCGCCCATCCCGCATAGGAGCGTCGCGCAAGTCTGGCTCGTGACTTCCATTCAGCATCATCCTCGCGGGGATTGTGTGACGATTTCGAGATTCCACTTGTGTTTGATCGTAAAAAGGATTCTATTGAGCAACCTGGATCCTCGCGATGTTTGTTCGTGACAATCCAACCAGGAAACGATTGATACGGGTCTGGGGAACTTCCGGTAGCAGGAAGCACTACTAATTACCAGGAACAAATACTCCGTTCATTGACGCGGTATCGGTGTCCAACACGATATTCCAACTCTAGAGTGTCAGTAGCATAAGTCTAGATCGTGACTTTCGCTTAGCATCATTTTCAGTAGAATCGTGTCGATTTCGAAATTCCTATCGTGTTGGTTCGTGAAAAGGATTCCGTAGACCGAGTTGTACTCTTGCGATTCTTTTCTCTGATAATTCAAGTGGGAATCGATTGATACGGGGCTGAGGATCTTCCAGTGGCAGGAAGCGCTACCGATTACTGGGAACAAATACTCCGTTCGTTGATGCAGTGTTGGCGTCGAATTCGATATTACAACACTAGAGTGTCAATATCATAGTCTAGATCCTGACTTTTGATGTGCGTTAGTTTCGGAAGGATCCAACTGATTTCAAGATTCTGGTCGTGTTGGTTCAAGAGAAGGATTCCATTAACCGAGCTGTACTCTTGCGATTTTTTCCCGTGGTAATTTAAGTATAAATCGATCGATACTGGACGGGGAAACTTCCGGTAACAGGAAGTGCTACCGATTACCAGAAACAAATGATTCGTCTGTTGACGCGGGGTCGGTGTTGAATTCGATATCCCGGCACTGGGAACTGGTTTTCAATGAACCGCGGACGAAGTTAATGGCCGACGAGCCCGTGCACGGTCGATCGATCGCCAGTTGCATCAAAACTAATCAGCTTTCGGGCCGCAACGCGGTTTTTACCAACCGACGGAAAGCCTTATGCGGAAATTCGTTCACAAGTGAAAGGACAGCTGCGCGCGGCGATTTCCTCGAAGACGATCGTCATCGCGGATCTTTCTTCTCGCGATCCTTTTTGCGCGTGACAATCTTCATGGCTGAACGGAGCAACAGTGGATGGTGAGTGATGCTTTGAAAAATTCGTGTGAGAAACTTTTAGCTGTGTTTCTTGAAGTCTCTTTGTGAAAAGTTGATGTTTTTAGATCTGTGAATGATTGAATTAGAGAGACCTAGGTACACGACGATTCACAGTCAGTTCGTTTATTTTTGTTTTTCACTTAATAATCTGTTGTACGATTTTTAAAAGTTGAAACTGATGAAAATCTGAATTAAATCGATTGTCGTCATGTGTCTGATACAATGAAGACTACAACAGTGATCGCAGAAGCTCTACAGGCTAAAATGGATCAATTGTTATAACGTTGAGCGCGTCACGTTCTTTCAATGTTGCGACGTTCAACGCTACACGTACCGCGACCGGTCAAATGACCTTTAGTGGATAGGGTGAGGATGCGTGTACAAATTAATTCTCACAAGTTTAATTCTTTTTAGTAATGCGACCATCACGGATTCGTGCGTCACACTAGCGACATGGTTTTGCGCCGTCCCTTCACTAATTTGGTGGGCGATCTCGGCCAATTTGTTAAGCGGCAGGTCGGTTTGCGCCGTTACGATGGACCGTGTCATCGCTGGTAATCGGCCAGACCACAACGTGTGCAGGCAATCGTCTGAAATGGTCGCACCTGCCAAATTCCTCATGTGGCGGAGGAATTGAGAAGGGGTCCTGTCTCCTGTCTCTTCCTGTTCCAGCAACTGTCGAATTCGCTGCGTTTGGGAAGGGGACAAACAATGCAACAACTCCCTATTAAGTGTCTCGTATTTCTCTGTTCCTGGAGCCTAGCCGAAGATGTCTTAAACTTCCAACACATATTTCGGCTCGAGTTGCGACATGATGTAGTAAAATTTGGTATTATCCGATCTTACGCCGTTTAATACAAATTGCGCCTCGATCTGATTAAACCATTCGCCGGGTTGTTCCGGCCAAAACAGCGGAACGTGAATGCCAACGCGGTTCACTTCCGGCATCGCGGCGGAATCTTCGGTCTCTGCGAGGCTGCTGTTTGCTCCAACTACTGCGGCTTTTCTGATCGTTGTCATTGTGTCACTTGCACTACTTAAATGAACCGAACGAAGATTCGAACTTGTGATCACGTCGGACTGTCACCACTTTAGTGAATAGGGTGAGGATATGCGTACAAATTAGCTCTCACAAGTTTAAGCAAGTGAATCTGTATTTAACCAGAGACCGCGAGGACTTCGTGTCAACTCTTGACTATTAACTGTTAACTCTGATTGCTTGTCTGTTCGTGATGACTGTCTTTTTATCCTTGCTTCACAGGAAGCTTCGTAGTGAATTTTCCCTAATTGGTTAAGCCACGCGTTGCCGTTAACCCATCAGGTACATCCGGTGATTTTCAATCACCGCCTATTCCTTGCGACCTTAGCGTGTTTTTTGTGGAAAGGTAGTGCGCTTTGGTGGAGGAGTATTCTTTAGTGGAAGTTTGGCAACGCAGCAGAGTTTCCTCCAGGCCCAAGCCTCGTGACAACACTCGCCGAGGATCGCTTGACCATGCCTTGTACTTCGGAAACTCATAGTTTATAACATCTGCAATTTGGTACTAAGGCCGTTTGCAATATTGTCGAAGAAAAAACAAACTTGGCTATAATTCTCGAACAACGGCTTTCTCAAAAGTAACCTCGCTGACCTACTTGTCATAGATCATTATACGCCAAATGTTTCTTTATGTCGTGCTTGCAAGCCGCTACAGACCGGTTTTCAAATTTCCTTGAAAATTCCGTGTTTTCTTTCGTTCATTTAACTTAATGTCGATTCCAATATCGTCCGATTAATCGGTTTTCCAATCTTTGTCTCTTCGTTTGTTTCTGTTTCCACTAAGAAAAAGTTGTCATTCAACTTGTGTACTTTTATTTTATAAGTTGAGTAGCTGCGGTAGGAATAAATATATATGAAGTATCGGTACGTTTATTGTTAAGAAAAACATAGATTAAGAATGTTATATTTGAGTACTTCCTTGTTTCTTTACAAACCGGATATTATTAAACACGCAGATTGTCGATATGGTTACAAAGTCACGTAACGTGTTTACATTTACCATAATCACACGTCCCGGGGAAATATTCGTGAGAACTACCGATTAACTGTTACGTGACGTCGTTCGCACATTATTCGAGCAATTTTAAACAATAATTGCTTGCTGTTAAAGAGAAACGTGAGTGGTGAGCAGCAGAGAGTAGAAAAATTTCAGTTAATTTGTAATACATATTGATCTTCGTATTACAGCTTTAATAAGTTTTCCCCAACCATATAAATATGTAGTATTTCATCGACGAGAAAAGTCAAGTTCATTAATCATCGGACTAGCAATTAACCCTTATCGGACGTCAGATTCTCATACCTGAGTTGTCGCTACATCGTCGAATGTGGAAGAACGATTTGCTATGTCACACAACAAGTGACAAACGTCTACTAGTGTAAAAAGCGTAATGTCACGTGAGAGGTGACATACGTCCGATAAGGATTAACACTCGTTTCTTTAACGAATTCTTCATTCTAATTACGTTTCACAGAGGATAAAAAGGAGGGAATAAGATAGATAAATTGCAAATTCAGACGTTACGTAAACACGATATGCGGGTTAACGTCTAATCCTTGTCCCAACGTTTACCCGAGCGCAATGTAACCGACACTATTGTAGAATTTCACATGGCAGAGCGTTAACGGATCGAACGGCTGCTATTAATATCCCAAGAAAAAGTATGTTAATATATCACCGCTTCATTAAGAATCGGATTATCTGCTGAAACGTCACGGGAACTTCGTGACCCATATCCGTGACATCACACCCGCGATTAGTTGCAGAACACCACGAAGATGATGTGTTCCTCGCACAACCGCAACGGATTCACCTGGAACGGGAGCTGTTTGGAACTGCTCTAAAACACCGTGAAACGATCGCCTAATTTGCAAAAATGGAGAACGACGCGGAAAGGTCGCCGCTGTTGGAGAGGAAGGTCGCTACCTCGACCAAGTTCGCTTACGCTTTGGGACACATTTTCAACGATCTTACGGCCGCCATGTGGTTCTCCTACACCCTTATCTACTTCCAGAGGGTGGCTTTGTTGAAGCCGATTGCCGCTGGCGCTCTTTTACTCTTAGGTAAATTACAAATTTAATCCTTTGGACTCGAGAAGTGACTCTCAGTCACCATTTGATTTGATACAGCAAAATTATAAAGTCTTATGTATAATATTAAACTTTGCGTAATGTGTAATGCATCAATATGTGAAATATTGAAATGCCTTTGTTCCCTAATTTATGTATGTTTGCATATTAGTTAGTATTTCTAATGAAATAGAATCTCCTAATAGAATATTCCTAATGAGAAACTTTCGAGTGGGCACGTAACGCTCAAATTACCAAAGGACCCATAGCTAATAAGGATTATTTTTCGTGAATGGAAAGAGATAATAACATTGAGGTACGGTTAATTTAAGGACAAATCGTGGATGCTTTCATGACGCCAGTTTTCGGTATACTGGTCGATCGTTATTGGACGCAAAAAGTTTGGCATATAATTGGCTCCGTCCTGGTCGTCTTGTCGTTCCCTGTGATCTTCGGCGGTTTTGCCGAACCTTCGAGTATCACCGTCATGATCGTCTACGTGGCTAGCATCTCCATGTTCCAAACGGGCTGGGCGGCTGTGCAAATCTCTCATTTGTCCATGATTCCGAAGCTGACGAATTCTCCGCTGGCACGAGCGGACTTGACTGCCATAAGGTGAAAACACTTTATCGACGTTAAATACTGGAAATTACTGTTCAATCGTAATCGGAGTACTTGGTGAATCAGGTATTCGGCTCAAGTGGGGGCAGCAGTGGTGGTGTTTATTGTCACGTGGATCGTCCTCCCCACGAACGAGGAAATCGTTGTTCGGCTTGCTCAAGAGGACAATTACAAATTTCGTGTAAGTACATGGTATAATGTATAGTACACAACATTTGGACGACTACGAAATCAATTCAACAAAATTCGAGAGAAATATTTCAAAATGCAACTCTACTTTTGTTCAGTGTGTTTTTTGATCAAATACAATGTCAAAACATTTTCGTAACTAATACCGTTTACCATTTTAAATAATATTTGCTCACGGTCTACTGTAAATTAGTTTACTGTATCGGTAAGACATCGACCTGCTCGTAGCGCTGAAATTCTATTAACATGAAGGAAAACGTATTGTTGATTCAGTAGCAATTTAGAGCCTGTAAAGATTTAGGGATTTAATAATTATAAGCAATTTGGAATAGAGACAAGTACCTAACTTAAGAGCACTGAACCCTTTCAGGACATTGTACTGACGTTGACGCTGATCGGATTGGTCACCACCATATTGTTCCATGTGTTCCTAAAAGGACACCTCTTAGAGCGTCACCAACTGCATAAAGGGAGGACCGAGGAATCCCAACGATTGATCGATAATCCTCAGAATAATCGAAGCTCTTGGTTTAATACGACCATTCTACTGAGAGTAGCGATGCTATATGTAGCCAGCAGATTGTTTATTACTTTGGCTACCGTTTATTTGCCGTTGTACATAGAAGAAACAGACATCAATGGAAAACAAGCTTTGGCGACTGTTCCGTTAGTCTCGTATGTGTCCTCCTTTATGGCGGCACTGATGCTGAAACATTTAAACAAATCTTGTGGCACAAAGGTCCGTTTTTTACCTCTCTGCTAGAAATTAATACCTCGTCTTAGAATCTTAAATAAACTGCGCACAATCTATATACTTTTTAAATTTCTATTCGATTCAAAAGTGAGTAGATGATATAACAATGAGTAAAAAAGTGCAATTCATTTTATGAAAAGAAGCAATGAATGTTGTTCGCTTTTCAGATGTGCTACTTCTTGGGTACAGTTATTGGAATGTTCTCCGCGGTGATTACGGAATTTGGTGGTAACAGTGCAACTATCATTTATATTACCGCGATTCTGATCGGAGCTGGAAGTTCCATCACGATGGTCACCGCCTTGAGCGTCACTGCGGAAATAATTGGCCCGCGAACGGAGCGAAGCGCCATTGTCTATTCCGTCGTGACGTTTCTTGACAAGGTTGTCACAGGATTGGTTGTTATTTTCATTGAAAAATGGTGAGGGTGCTAACATTTCATTTTCATTTTAAATCGTTAAGGCCCGATGATGAGTCAACAAGATGTTATTTCTATCATTTCATTTTTTTCATGCTTTCCAGGAGGTGCACGCAACCGGAACTCTGTCCAAATTACAATAGAGACACTCTTGCACTTGTCTGCGCTATTTCCATGTCTCTGGGTCTTGCCACGCTAATCTCTGTGTCGCGATGTTTAACTTAGATACATTTCCAGGGTCCAACAGTTAATCAATGTATCACAATTGTGCTATAATCCATCTTTCTATTCGTTCACTGTACGGAGAAAGCTACTGCATCAAGAGTAATAATAAAATTTTTTATGATCAACTTAACAACTTTCCTGACAATTAAACTTCTTATCACGAGGAACTACGACCGCATAATTATTTATTAATAAGGACCTTGTTGGGGTACAATTTTACTTCCTGTACCAATACCTAGTTCTAATAGACTACAAGTAATATAGACATAAAATTTCGCACCGTGTTTCTGAAGATTTCCATAATATCGGAACACACAAAAATCCAAAGTCTATTTCTCAAATGGAAAACGATTTGTAAAGGAGATATTACAAAACAATTCTTCTATAAATATCCGAGTTCAAATTCTTCACGCCAGTTTCGCTTTTCTCCCGATACCATAGGCATTCTCATTACCGACGACCCGTGATACCCATCCAGCGCGGATAGATGTCGCCCGCAGGTCGGCGGCCGATCCACGGAATTTTCCGCAGGAACGCAGCGACGTGTAGCGGCGCGAAGGTACGATGACCCGCTCGATTTACGCGTTACGTGGCGAGCCGCGGTTGCGTCGTTGCGTCGTAGAAGGCGTAAGACGAGATCCGTTGAATTCTACGCGGCGGCCGTTATGCCTCGTCAGACGATATAGCTCGGCTATCGTGTGGAGAGGCAACGTGATAGAGACGGGAGCTGGATTCGCTTGAGGGACAGGAACGGGGAGGGGGAACGGAACCGCGGATCGAGTCGCGTCGGTCGCGGAACACGGGACAGAGGGAGCGCGAGGTATGCAGACGCGCGTAGGGCGACAGAGAAAGGCCGATCCCGTGTAATAGAGAGAGGGGGCGAGAAAAAGTGAGACGCGTCGAGCGAATGCCGCAAGGGGAAGGGAGAGCGAAGAAAAAGCCATTGAGTGGCAGAAGGAGGAACAGAGAAGGAGACAGCGGTCTCGGTGTCTCGATCGAG